CTGTAACTATAGTTGCACCAGCATGACTGGCAGGTCTGGGGCATCTGTGTAACCTGTTATACAGAGGAATGCAAACCAGTACCAGGCAGTGCAAACCTAAAATAAGTTCTCGGGCTGTGTAAATCTGTAAAACTGAGAAGTCAGAGCCCACTTGAAAATTCTGAGCAGAGAGATAACACAGATCTTCGACAGTACTACTGTAAAGGCTAGACCTAGGAAATGGATACCAATGTGAAAGATTCAGGCAGGCAAGAACCTTGAATGAAGGGTACTACCAACCAGGCTACCAGATTTCAGACTGGAGAAAAAGAATATTGGGCTAGTCTCAATATACCAAGGACAGGTCATAGTCCATCTGGGCTATCTGGATTAGGAGTCTGGATTCAAAGCAGGGGTATACTAAAAGTACTAGGAATATACTGTAAAGTCAGTACTAGAGTCTGGATGAACTCTGCAAGGGTAGCCTATGTTAGTGTTCTAAAAGTGGGTAGATAGTAACAACAGGGGGCCCCCTGCGCCTTACTGGCAGATGATATACTCTGAAATGTATAATGGCCTAGGAACCAGTACAAAAAGGGTAGGTATCATACTGCTCAGATGGTATACTGGTTAGGTATATATGGAGGGTTAGTTGGGGATTCCAATATGATAGAGCAGATAATCAGAGAGTTTAAATAGATAATCTCCTAGTAGATTATAGATACAGCATCTAGTGTAGAACCTTAGGGTGGACTACTTAAATAGGCAACTAAAAGTCATATGTGTGACTAGCTGTACTCTCATCTCTGTAAAAATAGTTGTAATAGCTAATCTGATATAAAGTTAATAAAGTATTACTACAAGTATAGCCTTTAAAAAAAAAAATTAAAATAAAAAAAATTTAAAAAAAAAACTATTACAAGGCTTTACTAATATTAATTTAATGCTAACCTAAGATTATTTACAGATCTTTATAATGCTAGCAATAAAATAAATAAAGTAATAAAAGTTAATATTGTAGCATTTTATAATCAATATGATTTATAATATTATATTATAATTTGATACCTCAAGTAATTAAACTAAGAAATTATTAATCGTTTAAATCATTTGAATTATTAAACTAATTTGAACTCTAAAACTATTCTCAAACACTCACTTCTTAATATAAAGTTAATATACATTAGCAATATTAATTAGTTCATTTGGTTTAGTCTATCTAATTCAAAAGTAAAAATCGAACTAGTTATGTTTAGTTCAAACTAAATTTGAGTCTTAATAAAAGTTCAATTCAAAATAAACTGAACTAGTTAAAGTTTAAATGTAATATAAACTAAATTCACTTGAACTGTTTAATATTTATAACTACTAGTAGTTTTCTAAACTTATAATAACTGTTTTATATATATGTATTAACAACCATTTTGCTAGTACAATACATCTTATATTTAGAATAATCAAACCAATTATATCAAATTATTCCTAAATCTAATTATAAATAGTCACATGTCTTTGCATAATGACTATACTCTTTACATTTGCTATATTTATAATCCTTACTATTACTTACAACTTCTTTAATATTTGAACCTGTTTCCAAATTTTTGTTAATTATATTTAGTAACATATTATCTTTTAGTTGACATTTACTTTTGCTTGAAGTTTCTTCTGCAATTAATTTTAATCTTTTGGAAGAGTGTCCCTTATGCCTTGTTATAATTGGATTGTTGACATTCTCATCATGTTTTTAATTAACCTTTACTTTATTTTGTGTCTCATAAAGAAAATTATTAAGAATATCAGATAGTTCATTGCCTAAGTCAGCTTTAAGTGCAAGGTTAACTATCTTTTTAGACAACCTGAATAACTTTGCATATCTTGCTTTAATTAAATTAGTTGTTGTTTTACAGCTTTGCCTAATTGAAGTTAGATGCTCTAGTGTTACTTGTGGTATAACATCAAGTACCTCTTGTTGCTCAGATATTGAAATAGGCATTGCAGATATTTGTTGAAACAGAACATTTGATGTAATATTTGGCTTCAAATACCAATGACTTGAAACAAGAGTTATATGAAATATAACTAATGACAAATATGTACTAACATAAAAAAAATGCCACCAAATTAATTCTTTGTTCATTAAAAGAAGACAGGTACATAGGTGTATATTATCATTAAGTAGTATCACATAATGTCCATGTCTAGAAGTTTTTGTATAATGCATATGCCACACTTGAAGAATCTTTTCATATGGAATATTCTGCATTAATAAAGTAAATAGAATTTGGCATATATTATGTTCTTGTTCTCTAACCCAAAGTCCAATAGTACTGTTGTCTATATGACCCTATTATTAAACCTATATAACATTAGATTAATTAAAAAAAAAATAAATAAATAAAATACTTACCTCGATTAATTTATGTCATTTTTAACATATATAATATTATAGCAAACACTTATGTTCATTTGATTTCTTTGTTTATTAAGTATTGTGAGTGTAAAAAATTGCTTTAAAATTTTATTAAGCTTTGAAAAAACTGATTACTTAATAGTAGTAATTCAGTTGTTAGAAGTGCATTATGTTAAATTTTAAACTTTATTAAGTGTTTTTTTGGCTAACATAATTATTTAGGCCAGCAAGTAAACTACATAAAGAAGTTGCATAATCAACTTTCTGCTTAATATCCATGTTGATAGATTTGATTCTTTGGGTACTTTGTGCATCTGCTTTAAAGATTTTGTTAATCCAGGCTGTTGCCTATGACTCCTTATTTCTATAAAGAACATTTAAGTAATTTACAACTGTAGAATAATTATTTAACAGTTTTTTCTATTGATTTTCAAAAAAATCTTTATTTAAGCTATTATGACAAATATAAAAATCTGAATAAAATACTTCAAACTAAGAACCTAATTTATATTTAAATGCTTTCTAATATTTAAGTTTATATAAAAAATATACAGTATATAATTGGTACTAGGATATATATTTTTAATTAAACTTATCATAACTAGATCACTATCTGTAAATATTGTTGTTGAGTAATACTTGTTTACTCTAATAACTCTTCAAAAATCCATTGAAATGTATTAAATGTTTCATTCTCAATTATGCCACATGCTACAATTCATGTTTTAAAATAATTATCGATTACAATAATTATAAAAAGCATTTGTTGAAAATAATTTATATTTGCAATAGTATCCATTATCACAATATCATAAAAAGTCTCATATAAATTTCTTTAGAATGGCAACTTCTAGAAAAGTAAAACTAATCTTCTAGATATAGGTTCTAAGCATAGTTTTACAATCTATAATAGATCTTTTTCCTTCCATTTCAATAATTTTTGAAGCATTAATGAAGCATCTAAATCTTCTGGATTATTTTTATACCTAAAAGTATATATAGCATTATATAAATTACACTTATGTAAGGGATGTTTAGGATAATCATGTTTAAGTAAAAGGGATATTGTTGCTGAATTTATTCTTTCTTGAACCATATATTTTTCAATATCAGTTAGCATTTTAGAAGTTAACTTATGAAACCAAAGAGTAATTTTCTTAATCATAGAAGTAAGTAAATGATTATAATTATTATTAAATAAATTGATTTTTACTTTAGATGTTGTTTTGAGACAAGTAATATTCAATTTTCATAAATAGTCTATTTACTAAGATACATTGTTACATTGTTTAATTGGGTCAGCAGTTATTATGAAATTATATGTACTAGTTTTTGTACTTACATACTTAGCTTACCTAATTGTTTTTCTATCTAGTTCATTTTTTTTACTAGTTCTAACCTTATAATCAAAACCTTTTTGTAATGCAAATTGATACAACTAATTCTTAACTGACTGCCAATCTGAAAATAAAAGCTTCTTATTTAATTCTAAATGTTTATTGTCCTATTCATCTTCCTAAAATTCTTCATCTAATATCTTACATAAATCAGCTACTTTTAGATATACTTCATTTTTGTTATTCTCTAAAAGAAAGGTTTCTGAAAGATAATCTTAAGAATTAATAAAGTTGTTATGAAAAAGTTGATTATAGAAAGTATTATAGGTATTTTGTAGCTCTAATTCTAAATATTTACTACCCAATTCATTTTTCTGAAATTCTTTATTTAACATCTTTTATAAATTAGCTACTTTATTATATACTTTATTCTTGTTACTTTCTAAATAAAAGGTTTCTAAAAGATAATTACATAGTTGTTGAATATGATAATTACCAAAGTCATTATGAAAAAACTGAGCATAAGAAGTATCAGAAGTGTCTTGCAAATTGAGGTCTTGAATATATGAAGAGATGATGTTGTCAAGAACTTCGA